GCCTGGCAGTTGATCTGAATCGTAACAGAAACAGGCTGAGAGAGTTGGGGTTGTTCAGCCTGGACAAGAAAAGGCTCCAGGGAGGAGGGAGTGTTGATGAGGAGCAATGGATTTAAACTACAGCAGGGCAGATTTGGACTAGATGTTAGAAGAAAATTTCTTTACAGTGATGGTGGTGGAGGCTCCATTCCTGGAGACATTCAAGGTCAGGCTCTGAGGAACCTGATGGAGGTAAATGTTCCTGCTCACCACAGAGGGGGTTGAACTAGATGGTCTTTAAAGGGCCCTTCCAGCCCAACACACTCTATGAAATCTCTTCTAATGTGTGGGGAGGAAAAAGTACTCAAAAAAGAAAAGCCCATTTACAAAATTATTGAAAAACATTTATTATACTTAAATTGAAATGTGTACATCTTATTAAAAAAAAAAAAAGCAATTTGCTGGTGCCATAATTTAATTCCAATTTCAAGTGAGCCAGACAAACTACTGTACAACTTTCAATATTCTTTAAAATTAACATATTTGGATACTTTCCAATCAAGGATTTTTCCACCTTTGTAAAACATCTGGATTCTAATATGGCGCGAGCTGAAAAGACACAAATGTCGGTTCAAGAAAATACTAGGACCAAACTATACCAAAAGAAAGATGAACGACTTATAGGCAGAAATGTTTAAGTACATAAAATCTTACTTTCAGTGCAGAAAAAATAAAAATAGGGGAAAAAACCCCAACTCTAGCTTTGATGAATTTAAAATTTCAAACTGCTACAGCTTTAAGAAGCTTTTCTGCTAAGCACTTGAGCCAGTCACATAAAAGGGAACCAAAAAAAACCACCAAAATTGCTTTTTACATGCTGTAGTAGTTGTTTACATTGAACACTGCAGCATAAAAAGCAAATTCTTCCCAAGCTTTTAAGCCAGAGCTCAAGGTGGAACTTTTCAAAGGCACAAAATGACAGCTCTGCAACTGCCACTTATCACTTTTGAAATATTCCCCTCCCAGTACCTAACCAGTTGAAAAAAACCACCAATGTTAATGCAGGAAATGCTGAAATATCCAAAATACCCCAACAAAAGCGCATTGCCTGGTTCAAAGAAAAGCAAATATTTGGTCATACGGCAGAGGCACTGCAGCAGCTGCACAGCAGGGCGTGGTGGGCAGCAGGAGAGGTGAGATCCTTGGCCAGAACAGGGCGCGTTTAGTGTTTCGGAAGCATTTGCTGGGTGCTGCTGAAAGCTACGATAGCCCAGGGATCACCATCCCACTACATCCTCGCACTCCACCTCTCATCGCTACGAAATTTTTTTAAAATCCACAATTTTACAAGCAAAGAGTGAAAAACTGCAGCAGTGCTCTGCAGAGAACCTAGGAAACTAAACATAAAGGATGCATAGGCAATTCTTTCTTTCCATTAAATTCGTTAAAGCAAAACACAATTACTGGGTACCCCGTGGGATTTCTATTAATCCCTCTGAGCAGGTACTACTGATAATGCAGTTTGCTGCATGCATATATTGCATCTGTCGGGGGCTTCTCCCGAGCCCCCTTCTGGCATTTACACTTCTTACATCATACACTCTTATACAGAATTTACACGGGAAGCTGTCGCAACAGCTTTTCTCTCTGAGACCCGACAACCTGATCCACTGTCAGTCAGCTGAACGACTCCCGTCCACTACCATCAGGAAATAAAACCGGTGTAAGGTACAAGCAAGTAAAGTGACAAACTGTCACAGAAAAGGTAAATGCCCCCAATTAAGTTTACATTCATCTCCAACTGGATACATACAGCTTCGCTTCTAGAAACTGTATCTACTGGCCGTAATTCGCCTGATTTTGGTGAAGGGCAAGCACCTTCACTTACGTCATCTTCTGCGCCCGTCCGTCAGCCGTTGCGGCATCACGCCTTGCATGAGGACACTTTGCTATGGCAGTGATAAGAAAGTTCACCTATCAAACAGCTCATTAAGAAAGGTCATTTTGTGTTTTCAATATGAAACATCTTATACGGTGAAGTTAGATCCTAAGGTTTTCAGATGATCTTCATGCTCTTTAGGCAGGACTTCGTTCTGCGCCGGAGTATCAGTCTAGCAGGCGTGTGGCATCACTTCAAAATTATATGGAAGCCTTCACCATTTTCAGCTGAAAAAGGAAAAAAGTGTCAAGTCTTGCACAAACAGAACCATAATGAAACCAGCCAGCGCAGCAAACCAGCAACCTACTGTTTTTCACTGTGTAGGAGCGATTCGTTACTACTACAAATATTAAACTCAAAACACGTGAAATATCAGTAACTCGAAATTCAGAATACGCCCTTCAATAATAACTAATTTCTTAAAATCTCTTGGCTTTGCAGTTATTTCTGAACTCCTGTTTCACACAAACTCACCTTATTTGAGAGTGACATCATGGAAAAGTTCACTTCTGAGAGACCAGTATAAATCCCCAGTGCATGGATTTAAGCCTCTATTTTGTGATGCTCAGCCTTAAATTGGGATTTTATTATTTTTTTTAGTTGTTTTGAAACTCCACCATTCTCAACAATTACTAACAGTATGCACTGGTCAGGGAGGTTTGTTACCGAGCACTGCACAGGTTCTGGATACTTTTTGTCAGTACTCGTTGCAGATTTGTATTTATTTGCTGCAAATATGCCATTATGCTTTGCTTTACTGGAATAATATTTGGCTTTAAAGAAGGCTCCTTGGTAGAAACAACAATTATGGTTTAGACCGTAAGAGAGGACACGGTACCTTTTATTGTGGTGAATAAGAAGCAACTCTCATCTTGAAAGTTTTGAACCATCTACAATGAGAAAAATAAAAAAAGCTCTTAATCCCTCCTGAGTATGACCAATGCAAAAACCAAATACGTCAGGTATGAAACAGGGCCTTTATAGGCAACTGTGTATTTTTGCTTTTATTCAGCAAGGGACAACCAGGTAGAAAATTAAATTTTAAGAAAACAGTAATAAAGCAAGTATGAGAAAATCCTCCATTGTATTTAATTTAATTCATCAATAAAATCTGTCAAGAAAATAAAGTTTCCATTACCTGATCACTGACAAGGATGTGGATACCTGTGGGACCTTGTCGATAAACCTGGTTGATCTGATGCAAAGGAATATTAAATGCCAACGCAAGCTTGCGCGTGACTTCTGAGGCTGCCATTTCTTCCAAGTAGATTGCATGATACACTACAGGGAAAAAAAAATAATTAATTGAGTATGGTACCTACATAACAAGTACCTACATAAAACCCCCCTGAATTTAACCTTTAAAAAAATTTAAAAGCTAGAAACTTTTACTTTACTTTCTCCCTCTTCTCACTAAGAAGCTTGAACTGCTTCTCAGTGACACCAGCTCCATTCTCTTAAGTGTAAGAGTGACATGAATTTACACTTAAAAATTAAGCTCCCGTCTGTATTGCTACAACACCTATCCAGCAGGAAAATATTACTAGCAGCGCAAGCCTGTTCGCTGCTTGGCTGTTTTTCCTTGTCCAAGTTCTGCTTTTTTAATTCAGCTGCACAGAAAATCTAACAGAAAAGTGGGAAAGAATCCTACGTGGCTTAGTTGCACGTAGCTTTGATGTGCACCTCCGTTTGGTTAATACCTTGGCTCATTTGAGAGATCCTGAATTAATTATGGTATAACTACAAGCAGTTTAATCAACGGACTGAAAACTGACAATGATTTAACCTTGAGAGGTTTCAAGGTTCGGTTTCTCCTGTGTGGTGCCAAGACAGCAATGCTGTGCTCAACACAACTTTGACAGTTCCTCTGTGCACGAGAAACACAAATTCAGGCCCCTTTGCTCTTCTTTTTTTCCTTCCAATCTACCTCATTTTAGACTCTCAGACGTGGCAGCGGCGTGCCAAGACCCCCCCACGCCGTTACCGTATATTGCACCGTTGCTGCTGTCGCTGTTGCCGGCCTCTTGTCTTTCCAGTTGGATGCTCCTCAGTGGCTCCTGACAGACGTAGATGGTTAAGCGGGGCCTGACAGACCTGCAATTCGGAGAGATCACGCGTCAGAGGACAAGCTACCTGCCCTGGAAATACAGAAACGTAGATTCATCATGCTAATAGTACACTTGAAATGTTTTCCTTTGCCAGTCCTCAAAAATAAAAATTAATAAAACGGTGAGTGGTCTCTCATATGCTACTGCATTTAAAATTGCAATCACTTTGGAGCTCATCGAGACACTGAGGCCCTGCCCGGTTCTGACTTTAATTCTAAGGGCAGGGGATTGGAGTAACCAGCAGAAGGAAACCCAGCCGGCCTTGGACTCCACGTGTTACCTGGATTTCAGTGCATTATACAGCCGAATTCCATCAGCTGGACCACAGATTTGTACCAGATCTTCTCGTGTCAGCTTTAATAAATCAGCACCTGGAGAAACACAGGAGGATTTTATGAAGATCAGTTTGGAACACCTATACTTTTAAAACCAAATTGTATGTTTATTTAAACCAAGAGTAACAAAGATAGTCTTTATCCGTGAAAATACTCCACCAGGAAAGCATAGGTAAAGCCAGCAAAAAAAATGATGTCATCATAGCTCATAGAATCATAGAATCATAGAATGGCCTAAGCTGGAAGGGACCTTAGAGATCATTTAATCCAGCCTCCCTGTCGCCAGGGGCGCCACCTCTCGACTAGATCAGGCAAGACATGGGGACCGAATGGGAATCGAACCCGCGACCTTAGCGTTGTTAACGCCACGCTCAACTGACTGAGCTAACCGGCCCCCTTAACATCTATCAGCCAGATGGTATTTGACTTCTATGAGTATATAAAGCTATCGGTGACAAAGAACTGCTTTCAATGTTTTCCAAGAGTCTTTGTCAGAAACGTAGTTCTGACGTTTACTGACACAGCTTCGCCATCGTCACACAAGCAACACAGACCAAACCCGAACCAGCAGCAGAACCCCTTCATTTTTCACAAAGGACTCATCAAGGCTAAAATGATTTTGTGAACCATCATCACAAAAAAGGACTCTAGTTTCATTTTGGGGTGTTAGGGTGAATTTGCACAAAATTTAACTAGGGAAAAATAGCCTCCCAATGCAAACTAACATTTAATAAGCAGATTAGCAAATTAGAAGAAACATGGATGCTCTGTTGGATTTAGATAGTTATTCTCCACACAAAACTTGCTCAATACCACAAAGAAAGACTCTAAATAAAGAAGGAAATTACAGATACCTGAGAAATTTGAAAAAAGCCTTGTATAGGTAGAGAACCTATGCTTGAGCAACCACTGCTGAGTTTCCTGGATTGTGGCTGAAGGATGAAGCTGCTGTAAGAGACAAGATAGGATATGGTAAATGAGATATGAAAGAAACAAAACCCGAATCATTAAAAAATCTCCCTCACTTAAACACTTCCTTGGTACCTATTAATATCAAGGTATGTATAAATCAAATATTCTCAGACAAATATACAAATATAGCTGTGACTGATACCAGAAAGCAAACACTTACATCTCCACACCCTTGAGAGGTTCCATCTCCTTGATGATTGGGGGAGGAAGAATTGCTACAGATTGAGGAGGGGAAAAAAACACAACGTATTATTATAATTGTAATAAGCAAAGTATTTATGGATTGCTGAAAAATAATTTGAGATTCCCCAAACAATAGATATTACTGTTGAAAGACAAATTAAGCACTGCACAGCATGAAAATTAAGTTAACCCAAAAAATGTGTGTTCAAAAGTTTGTAGATTATTGCTGGGCTTTTTCTCTCCAGTTATATAAATGGTGTGTGAGGGGAATGCAGAGAGTTCTTAGTGAAAAAAATCCAAAACTAAATAGTTTCCATAGACATGGACTAAATCATGGTAGTGAAAATGTAAAATATTTGCTCTACGACAAAGGACAAGAAGAAAAGTTTTCGAAAATGCAGAGTAAGAAAGACAAATGTCCAAGTAGAAGTAATGACATGAGAATTGAATCATCATAGAATCATCATAGAATCATAGAATGGCCTAGGCTGGAAGGGACCTTAGAGATCATTTAATCCAGCCTCCCTGCCGCCTGGGACGCCACCTCTCGACTAGATCAGGCAACACATGGGGACCGAACGGGAATCACACAATGCAAATGTTCTCCAGTGGAACCAGAAACCAGTTGCATTTACTCAGGAAACACTTTTGCCTAAGCCTAGTTTTAAAATGTTCTCTAATTGGTGTACAGACCAGAAACCCACCTGTCAGGGACACTGTAGGTGTTATGCTGAGCAGAGGTAAAAGTCGGCGCAGGAGTAGGACTGTTGTTTACAAATGTTGTGGGAGTATCAGGCCATGGTGAGCACTGAAGATAAAGAATTAAAGCTTAAGTTTCTCTTGACATCACATTTTTCTTACTCTGATGCACACTTTTCGTTTAAAGCCAGGGTTTTATCCATAGAGAAGTGCAGTTTGTAATTCCAAATAAAGACCCCCTTGAGCCCACACATTACACGCAGACACTCCAGGTAAAAATCCGTTCTGGTTTATCTCGTTCTTTCACTGAGACTCCCATTTATATATACCATCTTCTGTTAACAAAATGAAGGTTTAGTGGTGGAGCTGACAGAAGACCTGTACAAATTACTCCATTTAAAACCAACCCACCCACCCATCCCAAACCATCTGCTGAAAAAACTTCCTTCACCCTAAAACAGAAGAAGGGGCTGTTTTAAACTGCAGGTGTCACAACTTGGCTGTAGGCGTTTGGCAAGAGTAAAACTATGAAGCCAGATTTCACCTTGTGGGTAAAATCTAATGTATTTGCCCTGACAGCAGTTAAATACAAATGGACATTTCAGCAGAAATACTGCAAGCTGAAAATCGTTAATAATGTACTTGCAGGACTAAAATGCTAGTTATATGCACTGCTTTCTCTAACCTGGATTTTTTGTACACAAATTTAAGTTATCACAAGTATACGATGAGCCAGCTGTCCAATATAGTCAGTTTAGTTATGATGAAGCCCTTCAAAACGAGACCAGCTTTGAGGGTTTCCAACACCCTTGCAAATCCAGTAAAGAAAAACCAAACAGATTTTGGTGAGTTCAAACAGACAGGACTGAAACAAGCAAACTGCCCAAGGTAAAGTAAACTGAGACCACGCCTGTTAAAACAACAAAGATTTCAGATCTCATGCACCAACTAAATACCCTGTAAGGAAATTTCCAGAGTTATACCATAGCCTGGGGCGCAAGGCGGGGGAGGGAAGGGAACCTAATGATAGTGGGAACATGTTTCAACAATTTTATGTTGAAAGACCTTTTCACTCTTTGGGGGAAACAGAAAACAAGTGCAACACCCACCGCGATCTTCGCTAAAATGGCTCGTAGCTCAACATAACAATGTCAACATCGTTCTGAAATATTTTGAGAGTGTCATTAATTTTCTTCTATTTTCTCCCTTTCTGTCCCTAAATTTTAACGCCAGATGTTTATCAGGACACAAGGATGCAAGTTGGACATCCTTAGCCACTACTTCACTACAAGATTCTGTTCAACTGCTATTTAAATTCCAGGGTGGGGAAGGCAGCGTTGGTGCCAGAGAGCAGCCCCTGAGCCCTTCCCAAGGCCCAGACCACAGTTCCTGTTTGTGTCCTTCAAATCCAGCTCAGGTTGTTCACAACAAAACCCTCGAGTTTAAATGCAGGAAGAAGCACGTCTGAAATATTCAAAAAGGAAAATCCCAAACCGAAGCAAGCAGCCTTTCTTCTCCTATAAATGCACTTTCTTATCTTGTCTCCTCTTCCAGAAAAACTACTATTAACTATACACTGAGACTGAATTGGTTGGGTAAAAAAAAAGAATAGTAGTAGTAATTGTAATCCTATTAGCTTAGTTCTTGCTTTTTTCCATCTTAAAGGTTGTGATCAGTGAGGCTATTTCATACAGGCCTAAGCCCAAACCCGAGTTAACTGGAGGACATTCAGCAAGGTAACAATGCCAATTCAGGAGTCCCTGACCACTGGACGTAAACTTAGAAGAAAGATATCACTGTTACAAGGAAGCATCCAACACTGTAAAACGCCATCACGGAGCCAAACAAAAAAGACTGGCATTGTATACCCGTAACAAAGGAGTATATGCCGGTGATTTTTCAAAGACATTGTTTTTGAGGTCTCAAAACTCACTGCCCTCTGTTATGTGCACACTGATACTGCACTGCTGGAAATGATGCCTTAATGCCCAGGCATTGATTAATTCTTGAAAAATAGAAAATTATTTAGGTTTCAGATCTTTAACATTCTTCTCTGTAAGACATGAGTGAAGTTACAAAGTGCCGACCCATGCTTTTACCGAGTTAAAAAGGAAGATAGGAAATCTTTTGGACTCAGGATATTTAGCATTTAAACTAACATCTGAAGAATTGCAAAAACTCACATTTATCCTAAGCCACTCTGAATGTCATTTCGCTTCCTACTTCCAATCTACCTGAAGCTGCCCAAATTCAAGCTTTACAAAAGAGTGGAACATCAAATCAACATGAAAACAAAACATTTGCTCTCCAAATCAGGCTTATTACACTTGGACGTCATCTTTAGAGAATAGGGTGGCAGAGTATTTTTTTTTCCTTTTTAGGTTCAAGGAACCTAAAAAAATACAAGGTTCTTGCCCCAAACAACTGCAGTTGTCGGCAAAAGCAAAAAAACTGCTCATATAGAACTAGTTATTGTGAATGGAGAAGAAGTTATTCCCAAAAGGTGGTCACGCATGCTATATATACTGGCTGCTACTGACAGTGCTCTATGAAGTGCAGAGGGGTGTAAGGAGAAACAAACTGAAGAAATATGAAATGCTTATGTCACTAAATTACTTTTGCTCCAGTTCGGCTTTCTGACTCCTGTAGGCTCTAGGTTTTATATTCTAAATCCAGGTCACTTCCAGAAAATATTTAACTTCTGCAGCAATCTCTCACGTCCAAAACGTGAAGTTCCAATTTATTTCAAGGTCTCTACCTGAAAGTCTTCTAACTTCCATGTGCCCTATATCTGCAAAAAATGACCATTTGGTAAATTTAATCTAATTGTAGCTTTACACATTCTCGTTTGTGACACACAGTATCTACTAATATGAAAAATCAACCAAGATACTGCAGACAAAAACTGCCAAGACCTGATTACTGCCATACAAACTTGCCCACTTTTGCAAATTAAAAGTAGGGAAAAAATCTGGTGGGGTGGTTTTTTTTCCTCCTCTTCTTTAGGTAAGCTCTAGCTTCTATAGATTTGGAAAAGCCAAAAAAAAAAAGCCTTCTGCATGAAACAGTCCCTGGATGAAGGTCACCTGCACAGAAACATTCACTGTGAGGTCCAGAGGCAGTGTGAAGTTTGTCACCTTTCATCTCTACAGAAAAAATCAACACTCCATGGCGTGCAAGAGTCTTAACAAGTAGCTGTCTGTGGGAAAAATACCCAGATAAATACTGCAGAAATTAAAGCGAAGGCATCAATTTTTGAAACAGAGGATGAATGAAAAGGAGTCATGGGAAAATATAGCAAGATGGCATCCTTATAGAAATGAATGAGAAGGAAAAGGTGGGTGATGGCAATTAGAAAAAAAAAAATGTCGTTCTTAGGAATGAACAGGAGAAGAGCAGAGCAGAACCACCCCTCAGAAAGGAAGCTTCAGCAAACTCTTTGCATTCTGTTAGAATCCCAAATGAATTAAGTTGGAAAGAAGATATCGTAAGATTCAATGTTTCCTGAAGGAAGCACAATAAGAAACCAATTGGTCCAAAAGAGATTGTGGCTGAGCTGAGAGAAATTATACAGGAATAAAACCCCCAAAACCTCACAATAAAATAATCATCCTTCATCCTAGCAAGAAGGGAAGAAATAAACACGTACCCACACACACTCCTCTGTCTGCTGCAGGAAAGGCATTACATGACCAGTACTACCCATCCTACTTCCATTTGTCAGTACGATTAAGATAATGCCCCCATTCACAGAGACACGGTATTTCAAGAGATCATTAAGAACAGTTGAGATGACTTTCAGGTATAATTTGGCAACAGTTTTTCCTACTCTAGACCAGGGATTTGTCTTATCTTTTAAAAATAACTTTTTCTATGACTCTTCCTATAAGCAACAATAATTTGATGAAGTACTTGTAACAACAGAAAGAAGAAAGGATGCAGGGGAAAGAACAAGAAATCCCTCCAAGGATCAGCTTCCAAAGATGCTTTAGACATGCTTTGTAAGCAAAAGTGATAAAATTCTGTTTTCACCTGTCTGTGCCTTCCCCACAGGGCCATCTGGAACAAATATAAGATTGTGCTGCCAAAGAATCCTACAGGTGCATCTTAAAAGAAAGAAGAGAAACCAACTCCCAAGACCAGTAAAGGGTAAATCCAGAGAGCTCAGAGCTTACAATAGTTGCAGGGTGCAAAATGAGAATCCTCTGGCGAAGCCATCTGACTTAACATTGCTTGTTCTCTCACACTCGGTTACAGTTTATAAACAACAAAAGGCACATTCCGAAATGTTTTATAACCTAAGCCTTACACATCACTTCCATAGCTCCTAAGTACAAACTAAATAACATTTAAGGGACAAGAGTCATTGCTGAAGCCTGGCTGGGAAAGAGCTGTCAGCACAAAATGCCTGCTCAAAGAACAGTCAAATAATTGTCTTCTACAGTCACATCATTACTTGACATCTAAACTTCCCAAATGGAAGACGCAGGATAGTTTCTCATCTGAAAAATGTAAGGTGGTGCAGATGTGCCGGCTCTTCTGGTTGGTGTTAAAGCCGCCCGCAGCACAGCACGTGTATGGCTGAAGGAAAAATTGGTCCCCACCAGCCATGTGCAACACGATGCAATGTTTTAGAAGTATCGATGTACATGGAAACACGCTCAATGTTAAGTACAAATACAGGACATAACACTAAATTTCACTGTGCTTACTTCCACTAATTGCACACATACAGGGAAGCAAAAAGCCGTTTCATTTCAAGTCGCGTAAACAAAAAGCTTGTGACTTAAGTTACACAGTCCCTCTGCGACAGTTCAAGTGTTAGATTTAGGAAGGATTCCTTTGCTGAAAACAAACAAGGAGCAATTGGTATACATAGAAGCGAATAAAATTAAGACACGGCAATCAAAATGTTTTTGCTTTACGTGATGGAAGTTTCTCCTATATCTAACACTGTACAAGGTATCTTGCACAATGAAAAGGTAAGCAGAAGTCCCTTACACTGCCTCGCTTTGCCAGAGAATCACCGCAGTCTGCTGGCAAAGTCCGCTTGCTGGACTTTTTCTGCTCATGTTCAACTGCATCTTCAATTATAGGCTCAAGCCTCATCTGGACAAACACCAAAGATTCGGATCAATTTCTTTTCGTTATACAGCAAGGAAAGATCTAAAAGCCTTTTAAAAACTTCTAAAATCTTTTAGAGAACTGCACAGAACTCACTGATGTTTAAATAAAAAGGAAATGCAAAAACCTGCTGAGGCTCTGGCCTGAATTCAGTAATCTCCAAAAAATAGACTTTGACACTCAAATCTGGCAGATAGTTAAATGTAGATTCCCCCCTCTTTCTTTTTTCTTTTCCCTTTTTTTTTCCCCTTCTTTTTGCTTTTCAGTTACATGGTTTTTAGATCTGTACCAAAACACTTAGCTCTAGGGTTCAGTACAGTCAGTCAGGTAGTGTTCAACCTCAGTGTGCTTTAATACAAGCGTCTACTGAGTATCTAAATGAAAGCTCAATTAAATGAAAACTTAAAACTTAAATGTTGCTGTTCACTGGTCAAGTCTGTCAAATAAAAAGCTTATCTTCGTGCAGAACTAACTCTTCCCCAACCCTTCCAAGCCTGCAGCTTATCCTCAGCCAGCAGATGCAATTCTGTTTTGTTACCTCTGTGAGAACTGTGGTGTCATATGAAGGCTGATACTTTTCTTTTTCATGTGCGGTTCGCTTTTCCATCTTTTCTCTGTCTGTTTTCTGTTTCCTGTCTGCTCCTTTTGGCTAAAAATGAACAGTTATGTGAACAAGAATGCAACTGGAAAATGGTTTTAGAATTGAAATCTGATCTCAGAAATCAAACAGTAATATATAAAGATGTCCCCCATCTTTGTGAGAGCTTCCGAGAGACTTATTAAGGACCTGGTTGCTACTGTTACCTTAAAAACTTTGATTTGACAACTGGCTGAATGCAGATGATCGGTATATTCTCCATTTTCAGTCTGTTTAAAAGTGTCAACCTGAATCCTAAAAGGAACGCCCTTCTCTCCACCGTGTTTGCGAGGGGTAAATTCAGTGCTGATACAATGTACCTGAAAAAAAACCAACCACCAGACAAAAAGGACCCTGAGAAGTATTCCAGACAGGAATTTTATTATGCGTTACCACCACCATATACATTTTCTAAGGGCAAGCACATCTCCCAGCTTTTCTGAAGAGCAAGCTGCCTAAGTAATGTTTTGTTCCTTCCCACGCTCATGTGCAAAAGGCAGCAAAACCATTCCACTTAAGCAGACAGGAAACAAGTGTGTCACCAAAATCTCTCTAAAATAAAGCAGTCGTCATAGATTTTTATTCAATGAGAACTCACTGGCTCTTAACCAAAATGCACAGGGATGACAACTCTATCTATCATGAATATGGCAAAGAAATTTTCAAGGTGCTATTCTCCACTGCACCATCACTAGAATAAACTTCAGATTTGCTTGTAATGAACATTACCAGAGCTAAAGAAGGGCACTGACTAGAAGAGTTTTAAATATCCTGGGAAATCTGGGTATTTCTTATATAAATCTCGGTACTTTTCTTATAAAAGTCAGCAGACTTTTTAACCAGTATGTAATTGCCTCAAGCACTCCATCAGAACAAAGGCTGGGTTTTTAAGTCAGAAATACTCCTGAAAGATGTCTATGGAGAAAATCAGTGTAACAAAACCCTAGGATGAATCCTACTGGACACCGTTCCAAATTTTTTTAAACTGTTTTTTTTGCTTCCTTATGGAATATTTAAGCGAGCCAAGCCCCGTCAACACCTTGCACTCTCAATGACTACAGTGCTGTACTTGTTATTTCCTCTGGCCATCAACAACACAGGAGGACCACAGCCTGGAAACTGCAGCTTTAAGTGCATGGTCAGTGCCGCGGTGCTCTCTGGCTAATGCTCAAGTCGTAAGGATCGGTTCTGTTTTCGGACAGTCTGTGACTGCTCCTTCTAAGGATGTGCATAAACAAAAATAGCCAAGTTTATCTCCTGCTTCTTCAAGGAGACTGCATTTTAGTAATTAGGTAATTCTTACTAGAAAAAAAAAAGTCCTCGAAAGTACTAGATCTAAGTTAATTTATGGACAATATGGAATTTAACCTGTTTTGGCAGCCTCAGTAAGAAATGTTACCTCAGGCTTGATACTTGTATCTTGTTATAAGAGAAACAGAGACAAAAGTAAGCTAAAAATTCCAATGCAAAACTGAATATTCTATCTAAATAATTTCCAGAGAAAGCATGTTCAACTGCCCTATGTATCAAATACATAAATAATAAAAACCCAACTACATAGAGCGTCTTTCAATATCCGATTTCAAACTCTTTTTGTAGCACATCATTTTTCATTTTGTATCCTCAAGCCAGGACTCTGCTGAAGCTCACCACTACGAGTGGGCCCCTCCAGTAAAAAAAAGTGGTAGTGATAGTTATTTAAAAGGCTAAAAAATCAATTCTAATACTCTGTATAACTCTACTTGTGACCTCAAAGGCACCACACACAGACAACCAGTCAAGTAAAGTTTCAAACCTGAATAAAAGCAGATGTACATTTTGTTGGATCCCACAAAAATTCAACTGCATTGAGTTGGCTTGGATTTGTCTTGATATCAATGACTCCAACGGACATTGGAATATCTATTAAAATAAGCAAGATACATTTCAAAATAATCATAGTCCAAAAAAACACTACAAATAAAGATTAATATAAGCAAACACTGGCAGAAGGGGAAAAATTCAGTCTTTGGTGGCTTCATGAAAAGCCCAGAAACAGTTTCTTAGGACTGATCTGAAGAATTTTAGTAAATTCAACACACAAAGTGGTCTGGGTCTGGGGGTGTTTCTTGATTCGCCTTCCTCATGCAACAAAAATGATCAAGTTACACAAATTACAGAAACCCCACTGGTGCCATTTCCACAACCTACTGAAGTTCATCATAGAATCATAGAATGGCCTAGGCTGGAAGGGACCTTAGAGATCATTTTAATCCAGCCTCCCTGTCGCCAGGGACGCCACCTCTCGACTAGATCAGGCAACACATGGGGACCGAGCGGGAATCGAACCCGCGTCCTTGGCGTTGTTAGCACCACGCTCAACTGAATGAGCTAACGGGCCCCCTAACTTATTTTTGTCTGCATTCTCCTAATTAGTGTAACATTTACTAATCAAAATTAGAAGGATTACTAAATGTATGCAGTTGCAGAGTTGCTATCTTATTTACTTAAAGGAGTGTGAAAGTGGTGAGTAGATGTATATTCAAAACACAAACAACAAAGCAGCATACAGAAAGTGTCTCTTATTTTTTTCACCAGCTCTAGCATAAATGTGACCACAATCAATTTAAATTTGGAAACTGAATTTCATACAGTGACGACAGATAGAAAACCAATCATACCTAAGTCAAGAAGTCTGTCCCCAGGGCGGTTCCACTTCCAACCTTCCAGCTGCTGGTGCTCTGTATATTGCAACCTTCTATCATGAAACACAACTCTTATAATACTCTAACAAAAAAAAAACCAAACAAGCATCTGCTCAGCCACAAAGTTACTATTTTTTTAGAAAGAGCCTGAAGATAAAGCATTAAAACATTGCAAAAGAGCCACAGTGCTGAAAAATATGTATTTACAGCAAAAAAAAATAAAATACTGGCAACCATCAGTATCCCCAAATCTTTCAAAACAGAACAACAGAACTGAGCAGCAGGAGATATTTGAAAATGTGGCAAAAATGCAGAAGAAAATTAGATCTGATTGCATTTTCTGAAAGCCGCTAAGAACTACAGGCAGTGAACTGCTACGCCGCCAGCACACCGTCCACACTGTGCAGACAACACCAACTTGTTAGTTGGTGTTAGTTGTTAGCAGGGATTTGTTAGTAACACTCTCTAGAGAAGTCACCTTCACCAGTTTTCCATTGATCTCTGGTATGTCTCCAGCTTTCCGATTATCTAGCATCCGTATTTCATAGGATTGACCTTTAAAGAGAAAAGAAGTTTGTATCAGTAGAGGAGTCAGAGCACAAAGCTATTTTGTATTTAAAGCACCTGAATGAGCTTTTGGTTCATACACAGACATAAGAATCAGCACCCAAAACATCCGTTTTAAGAAATTTTTGTAACGAGGTTTGATTCGCAGCACAGGAATTAATGGAACAAAATGAAACTTTGTGGTCCCTTTAAAACAACAGATACCTTCAAGGCTGAAATATTTCATTTTACATGAGGCCTAAGTACTTGCTTCTCTATTTTTCTTTTCCAAAGAAAAACCTTTAAAAGCTGAACTTTAAATCACGGCATCGTTAAGCTTGGAAGGGACCTCTGGAGGTCAACTGATCCAATTCTCCTGCTCAAGCAGGACCACCTTGAGCCAACCGCAACAGACCAAGCCCACACTGCTTCTCAGTATCTCAGGGAAGCTCCTCATCCAGCCTGTGCTTCATCACCTTCTCTACAAGGATCTCACATGAGAAAATACTGAAGACAATGACTCGCAGACAACATCCACCCCTCTCCCCTTGATTGCCAAGCCCTTCAGCAGACATCAAGCCCTCCTGTGAAGACTCAGGGTGCAAAAAGTGGTAAAAAATGCACCTGACTAAGCAAATGGCTGAACTGTGCAATCACATGTTTCTAAGACACTAGAATCTTTTTTTCATTTTTTTGAGTTCAGAATACCAGCTGACTAAGCTGAGGACACCAATGCCACTTCCAGAGGTGAGGGAGGTTTTATCACATGGCAATAACCACATTCAGATTATTTTACCCAGAAGGTGGTATCCTCTGTGGAAGAAAAAAAGAAATTAATTTTCAAGCAAATGAACCACAGGCTATGAAGAAAAACCAGCAAGACTCACATGAAGTACTTATCTAGTTAATTTCTGACAAATGTAGAGAGACAATAGTGAAATACACACTAACTCCAAAGGTAGCTGCACTTGTGTTTATATTTCAAACATGACACTGTTCTGGGCAGATACTATTAACTAATTTGAGAGCAATTTCAGTGGCCTGTGTTGAGCAAGATTTTTGTTTAGGGATTGACATTTTAACATTTATTATGACTTTTTAGGGGTGTTGATGTGTACCTCAGGCAAACAGCATCCAATTAACTTGCTATTATCACAGAACAGTTTGAGTTGGAAGGGACCTTAACGATCATCTTGTTCCAACACCCCTGCCAACATCTCCCATTTTCCAACCTCATTTTCAACACACATTTATTTTGGATGTGCCCACACATATCAAAACCTGAAATACAATTCCCATTCCAGATTTGCTCCACAAGCTGCATTCACTACAGTTATGCCTGCAACACATATGTACCAACCTTGATTCAAGTATGTAAGAGTTTCATCGTATAATTTTACTGCTGGAGATGTCGCAGCGCACATAACATACTGGAAGGGTGGATGTTTGGTCTCATTTTCTTGTGGAAGGCTGGAATCTTCCTGTTTGAAAATAGGCAGTGCCAGAACATCACTGTAAAGAGCAAACAAATAACTTTGTGAGACTGTTGGGCCTGTTTTGCCTGAAATTAATGAAAGAAAAAAGTTATCAGTGACTAAAAAAAAACCTGTAAAATTGCATCACTCCAAGTTTATTAGTGAAGCCAATGTGAGCAGTATCCAAAACATTTTCCACCACAATTTTAGGCTAGGATACATAAACATTGCTCATATATAGACAACAGAAGGGGCATCATGTCCAGAGGTAGGACAGATAATTTCACAGAGCAGTAGACTGCCACTCGAGGATGATGCAGAAGAAAGAACTGGACGCTCCTGACTGCCTTGATGGATCAGGTTCAGAACCCGTGGCAGGAGCAAGGGTCAGTGCTGCGACACACAGAGAGAACCGTTGTCCCAAGGCTTCTACGCCTCACATCTGATCTGGCTTAAGAACATGTGCAGTGGTTAATGAACTAGTTCAATTAACAGACAAGGCACTGGAAGCCAACAAATATGAATGGAAGACAATTTTAGCCAGCTTTAAAGCTGCTTTTGCTAATACGTACGAAGTGGTAATGACTACCTGCCACTGCAGAAGGTAAAGAAAAAAAAAAAAAAACCAGAAAAAAGACACCGAACTCCTCAAGTCTACAATCTGAGAGCATAATACGCATTCTCAAATGCCACTACTCCAAAAAAAATGCTCAAGCAAACAGCATAAGGCAAACCTAAGAATCTTCATTTATTTTCCCAGATAAAAACATACATTTTTCTTATATAAGAGTCTTTTCAGTACTAGTACATTCCAAAGGAAGAGAGAAGACAAAGCAATTTAACTTATTCTCTGAGGCCAAAATCCTCTCATTTGTCCTTCCATTACTTCAAACAGGGACCACATAAGTTTCACAGAGAAAAGCATTTTCTACAATGTAGAATTCATTCCTCAGAGAAGGAAACCAACAACAGAAGTGTAGTATTTTTAATAGTCCTTCTTATTAACAATGAAGAATAGTTTCTTGTAAGTGATAAACTTGATCTAATATAAGCTATTATGTAGCTCACACCCCTAAAAACTAAAGAGATTGTAAATTAAAGTCTTTTTACTACCTCTAGCTTTATACTGTGAAAGACTAATTTACTTCACTGGTCTCATCTAAATGAAGTTTGGGCTATTAGGAGCAAGTCAATGTATAAGGAGATAGCAATGTTTTGAAGAAGATCATCTTTTGTTAGACTTCTTGGTATGATTTGAAAAAGCACATTGATCAAAGTTGACTCTCCTGATGGAAAGAACTCTGAGACCAAGTTTTTGCAGCTATTAGCTCCAGTAATAAAAGTCTTATCTCAGTCCCTCATGATTCGTTATCTAAAGCATTCAACTGAACGCCTTTCCTTCCTAGAGGGAGGAGAGTACTTTCACAGAAAACCAAACAGAAAGTCACTACACACTGAAAGCAGGCAGTAAACACATCTCCAACACCCAACTTTGCTAGCTGTGTTACAGACGAAGTGGTACATGAAGGAGACGTCACCACACAAAATCAAGAAGGCTTAGAAGAAGCAGCGAGGTGCACAGTAGCACTGGACCGAAGAACTGACTCGCACTTGATAAGCTATCCCGTTACCTACCCTACCCGAGCACAGTACAGAAAGGCCAAGGAAACTCTAAGTTATCCTTACATGCTTGTGAAATATGTTTGTCATCCACAAAATCATCTTCCTTCCCAATTTAAAACCCTCTTTTCACCACTTTTCTAAAGCATTTCAGGAAACCAGCCTAATAGTACAGTCACAAAATAAACAAAGAATCTCCTGTCCTTATATGAATAGGAACTAGTATGTCATCAGAATTCAAAGTGACACTCCATCAGTCAACTGCCTTATCTGTCTCTTGGATTGTATACTTTTGGGTGTGAATACTGAAGCATCCAAGAACATGCAGGCCTTTTGAAACTTTCAAGCACGGTTTACAAGGACAAATACCTAGGGAAAAATGTTTCTTGATCAGCATCTCAGTTAGAGTTACGGTCTCAAAGCCAAGCTCTGCACTAAGAGCTCAGAACAAACTGTCAGAAAACGTACGAGAATGGGAGAGCCAATACTTCGTCACACTGTTTGATGTGAGACAAGACCCCTGGAAGTAGCTGCCCGGAAACAACTTTCTCTGAAGCAACGGTCAAGAGGTGCAACACGAATGAGAAAATGGGTGCAAATGCAATGATGTTCCTGGGAATCCTACAACCCACCCGTGGAAATTCAGCTGGTTAAAGGCCTCAACTTACAGGGAGGGAGTCTGGCACAAAACAAGTTATGCAACCTGAAGAGTCTTTTCCTTAAGAATTAAATTGCTCTCTGCAACTTTTCAAAATATATTTACACATTTGACTGGGTGAAAAAAACCAAAAAAACACTGAAAACCAACGTCAGAGATCTAGAACACAAGCTTTATCTTTCAATGTCAGTGGAAATTACTTTTTCGACAGTGCAGTATATAAAAATAGAACAGACCACAGCAACAGAAGCTTTTTAATACATTCTGCAGAAAAAACACGTACATCTTAAAAAAATAAATTCAGGATACCTTAAGCAAGCATGTCTCTTAAAAAACCACAACATAAGCAGTAGCTGAGTCTCAAAAGAGTGGGAGGTGTTGAGGGAAGCACAAACAGACATTTTGTCTGTCAGAAAGTAACACCAGCCACAGGGAAAACAGGGCCTGAACGAGATAACTCCCTTTTTTTAGTTTTGCACAGTGACTATAAAGTTAAGACGGTAACCGTCACGACCCAGTCACGTTCATCAGAAGTGAAGCAACGAAGAAGGATGTCAAGGACACAAAAGCTGATAGAAGAATTCACCCTCCCTCTCTCCCGCACCTGAAACCCAAGCTCCCTCCCTAGCATGGTGAGAGTGCAGCAGGTTTCACTTCCCTTCAACCACGGCAGCAGCCAGCTCTGTCCTCCAGAGACACTCCAAGTTTTTGGGAGATGCAGCAAGAGTCAAGCTGACTTGACCCTTCAAAAATAGAGGACTGTCTGAAGGTATTTTCCTGCAGTCTCTTGTACAGGCTTTCCCATTTTAGAACCGAGTCATGTTTTCCAATTTAGTTTAGTAAACTTCAGGGTTTAATCTAGAAACATACACCAAAATACCTACTCTTGAAATAATTATCAAGTTCCCCAATGACAGGTTTCAATTTTAGTAATATGAATACCATTGGAACTGCAGGCATTTAAATAAATTAATACACTAAGCTTCCAAATTATACACAATCATCAAAATATTTGTCCTTATATTAATGTCCATTTAACTGAATTTGAATCTATTCATTAATCAAATAATTCATCACATTAAAAATGTAATTCTACCAGAGAAATGGTAGGCTTTTCAATGAAATAGCCTCCCTTTCTTAGCAGTTCATAGCAATGATCAGTGGTCCCCAAAATTACACAATTTTTGCTGTGTTATGATAGATATTATGACAGATTTGTAAGAAATCACTGTAAGAGTCTTAAATCTACACAGTGATGTCACTTCCAACTGAAGTTAACAGCAATACTCAAAATTCAGTAAAGATACCACGTTTTTATACATTTTTTTTGAGGGGGTTGACACATCTGACTAATTGAATTTTGTGTTTGTAGGCAGTTTTTTATTGCATGAGAAGATGTTGAAAAACTGGGTTTCAAGTTTTTAAGAAAATTTTGAGAACTATTCAAAACCACATGAATCGGTAGAGAAATTCTGTCCAGTTAGCTTCCTTTTACAGTTACTGGTCAATGGACGCTAGCAGTTTTCTCAGTAAGAATAAACACAAAAGTAATGCCATATACTCCAGGGCATTGACTGATAAACAGAGACAGAGCTGTACTGTCACTATTCATGCTACACCACTTCTCTTACTTTTCCCCACCTGCATCACTTAAAAGGCCACAATTTCCCTAAAGCAGAAACCTAAGCCCTATGTAAAACAACATACTTGCTGCAATCCCTCTGAATCCAGCAAACACTAACTGCAGTTGAGTGATCCCTTTAACTTTGTGTTCAGAAACTAAAGTTACAAGTATTATTATATATATAATAATATATATGTTCCAAAAATACTTGCATCTCATCAGAAACAAAGCCTGCCAAAAAATTTAAGACTAATGAACAGCTTGTGCAATATTACTTTTTAGAGCTGGTTTTAATCACTACAACTCTTTCTGCAGTAATTTAAAGTATCCTAATAGGCAGGTATGCACAACTAAAAATCCACTTAGGATTGCTGCCCACCATAAAAGGGTGACATGAGCAGAGGAAATGATCTGTGCAACAACAGCAATGACTAAAATTCTTCAAGTTTCAAGAAAGTAAACGATATGTGCATTACGTGGAAGAGACGCAAGGTTTTAAAAAAAGAAAGAGAAATCTTTAAAAAACCATCCCAGTCAAGACTTCTAATGATAAGGAATCTAGAAAGAACCGGATCATGACAGAGAAGAACAGTTCTTGAACAGGAGTGCACGTATTATCCATCACTGTTTGCAAGGAGTAAAAGATAACCAGAGACCGAATGCTGAGAAGTCACCCAGGCCACTGGTGCCCACATAGACAGTCACAGCCTGTCCCAGGATGAACGCTGGCTTGACAAGGACAGAAATGGGATAGAATCATAGAATCACAGAATGGCCTAGACTGGAAGGGACTGTAGAGATCATCTAGTCCAACCTTCCTATCATAGTCAGGGGCGCCTCTCAACTACACCAGGCTACTCAAGGCTCCGTCCAACTTGGCCTTGAACACCTCCAGGGAGGGGGCAGCCACAGCATCTCTGGGCAATTTATTCCAAAGTCTTGCCGCCCTCGTACTGAAGAATTTCTTCCTAAGATCTAATCTAAATCTATTCTCCTTCAATTTAAACCCATTTCCCCTATTGAACAGGAATAAGATCCAGGCAAGCTGAATATAAAATCAGGAACATTCTCACAAACAGAAATGAATGACCTTCTTCTCTTAACTGTCAAGTTCTCAAAGTCATTTTTAATAAAAAGTAAAATAAAATCACACCTCACAAAACAATCCCATCATAAACCTGCTA